ATTTAACGGATCTATCGGCTAATTGAAGTGACATCTTAGTAGGTTGTAATTCTCCTAAGTTTAATCTCTCACAAACTGCTAAAGGCATTAAGCTCACACTAGCTCCTAAGTCTAGAAAAGCTTTTTCGATGACATGATTCCCCAAAACACAAGGAATGGAAAAATTTCCGGGATCTTTATCTTTCTTTGCTAACCTATTTTCGGAAATAGAATTACATTCCACGGGTTTCGGATCTTCGAGTCTACGTTTATTTGTAAGTATGTCTTTGAGAAACTTAGCATAAGAAGGTATTTGGGTGATGGCTTCTGTAAAGGGGATTTCTACGTGAAGTTTTTCTATAACCTTAACGAATTTTTGATATTGATTATCGATTTGGGTTTTCTTTAATCTTTGAGGGTAAGGTATTGGTGGTTTGTATGGCGGTGGCGGTACATAGGTTTTATTTTTAGGTTCTTCTCCTTTTTCTTGACTTTCCGGGGTTTCAGGCTTCTCTGGTTCCTTTTCCTCATTCCTCTCAGAAGTTTCGGGCTCACTTAATCTAGGGTTTAAAGGTTCCTTATAAGCGGTTCCACTTCGTAGAGTAATGGCATTAGCTTGCCCTTTCGGGTTTTGTTGAGGTTGTCCAGGGAACTGTCCTCCAGGTGTAGTTTGTGGGGCTTGGTTTAACGCTACCTGAGAGATCTGGGTTTCAAGCATCTTATTATGAGTAATAATTTGATCAACCTTGGTTCCTAACTTGGTAATTAGTTCGTTAACATGGACGTTATGGTTCATGAACTCTTTGTTTTGTTGTTTTTGAGCAACGATAAAATCTTTTACAACTTCCTCAAAGCTCGGGCTAGGTGGTACAGGTTGCATAGGTTGATTTGTTCTAGGGGCTTGGTAACCTTGTTGTCTCGGAGGTGCGGTATTTTGGATAGGGTTATTATTTTTGTAGGAGAAGTTTGGGTGATTCCTCCATCCAGGGTTATATGTGTTTGAAAATGGGTTCCCTTGGGTATAGTTCACTTGCTCAGTGTTGGTTTCATTCAACAGATTGCATTCGGCGGATTGGTGTCCTTGCGTTCCACATATCTCACAATTCGGCGAAACTGCGGCAACAGTATTCGGAGTTGTACACATATGTTCGACTCTAAGGGCCAACGCGTCCATTTTAGCCTGCATCATGTCTATAGAGCTTAGCTCATGTATTCCTCCTTGGGCTTCCTTCTTTTCCACTGTCGCTCGTTCTACTCCCCATGATTGATGGTTTTGGGCCATATCCTCGATAAGGGCACTAGCTTCAGGGTAAGGTTTGTTCATCAGTGCGCCACCAGCGGCAGCGTCGATGGTCATTTTAGTGTTATAAAGAAGTCCATTATAGAAGGTTTGGATGATTAGCCAATTCTCTAGGCCATGGTGTGGGCATGCTCTTAATAGTTCTTTATATCTCTCCCAGGCTTCGAACAACGACTCTCCTTGGTGTTGGGTAAATCTAGTTATTAGGTTTCGAAGAAGAGCGGTCTTACTTGGGGGAAAATATCTAGCAAGGAAAACTTTTCTAAGGTCATCCCAAGTTGTTATTGAATTGGGTGGAAGGGAATCTAACCATGATAGAGCTTTATCTCTGAGGGAAAAGGGAAATAATCTTAAGCGTATTGCCTCAGGAGAAGCTCCATTGGTTTTAAAGGTGTCTGCTAATTGAAGAAAGTTTTTTAAATGTTGGTTCGGGTTATCAGTAGCGAGACCTGCGAATTGTCTCTGTTGCACTAATTGCAGCAGGGATGGCTTAAGTTCAAAATTATTGGCTGGGATAGCGGGGTTTACTATACTGGAACTAGGTTCCTCGTTTGATGGTTGGGCGAAGTCCTTAAGAGGTCTTCGATTTTGATCTTCGGCCATAGCTCTCCTATTCCTATGGAAAAATAAACGTGCGCGAGCGTAACGTTCAGGTTCAGCTAGAGGGTCTACTAAACTTCCGGCACTGCGAGTCTTTCGCATTGACCGGTGGGTAACAACCTTAGTCTAAACGGTATAACTACAGGGTAATGAAATTTGACGATATTGGTCCCCGGCAACGGCGCCAAAAACTTGATGCGTGTTTTTCGCAAGTGTACGAATCACGTCAAAGTAATATAAAAGATTATCGAATCCACAGAGACCAAGTGTCAATCTATCGTACCTGTTGTTATGGTGTTTATCTAAGGCAACTATTTTTAAGGGTTTTAGTAAGGGTGCAATGGTAAATAAAATTATAATTTTAAATAATAAATAAAAGACAGGCTCGAATGTAATTCACGTAATCAATGATAATCCAGTACTTGTTAATGGAACTACTTATGGGCAATGTTTTCTCCTTTGAAAAGAACTAATTTAACAGGAACTGTCGCTTTCGCGTATTCAGAACCGAGTTGTACTCTCTAATCAACCCCTCCTATTGTCACGGATAAAAAGGTGCGTACTGCGTTAGAGTAGTAAACCTATTTTTAAGAAATATAGTTTCTTAACAAAGTTGAAAAGTATTTTAACCTGGACTTCTTAGCAAAAAGAGGTTCTTATGAACCAGACTCTAAATCTCATAACGCGTCCGAAAATCGTTTTAAAATCTCTTTTCTTTTTAATCTAAAAACTCCTAATGAACTATACAAAGCGCTTTTGGCTGTTTTTGAAATAGTTAAAAACAATTACTTGAATTGAAAGATAAAATAGCCCTTAGGTGTTTCCACGAACAATTATACTGATTACTGGTTTAATTACGATCCTTACATTCTAACCTTTATGGGATTAGTTAGACATGATAAAGTAAATATTCTTTTTATAGTTTTTCATATAAGTAATTTAAAGCGAGTGCGGGAAGTAAACAACGTAAATGTGCGAGTGCGGGAAATAAACAACGTAAATGTGCGAGTGCGGGAAATAAACAAAGTAAAGTGCGAGAAAATAAATAAAAGTAAAGCAATGCGGAAGAATAAAATACGAACTGGAATTAAAATGGCGGCAGGATTAACTTCCTCCAGAGTGCTCCAAAACTCGAACCACAGACAGATTACAGACTCGATCACTCGATTGCAGAGGCACCCCGATGTGGAATGGCAACTGCTTTATAACTGATATATGCCTAGAGAATTCTAATTCTGGATGAAGAAAAACGAAAATCTAAGGTCCTATTTATAGGAGAAACTGGAAGCGCGAAATGACCGGGACGCCCCTCCACTAAAAAGTGGAGGTTGAGGATTTTTGCCTTGTGGCGCCCGCCACAGGCCTATGGCGCCCGCCACGGTCCCTACAGGGGATGATGTAGTGGGGATCGTGGGTCTTGGAGGTTGAGGAGTGGTCTTGAGACGTGGCCACGTCATGGCTAACCCCATGGCGCCCGCCACAGTGGGTGCCGCAAGTGCAAAATGCTGAATTTCTAGGTTTTCGTCCGTTTTCACTCCTTTTTCGCTCCTTTTCCCGATTCCAGCTCCGATTATTATAAAAACCTGAAAACATAAGAAAACAAAGCAATAACAAAGCAAAACAACAATAAAAGCTAAGAATGCATGCGAAATCGGAGTCAGAAATACGGTGAATTTTAGTGTGATCAACAATAAAAGACACTTCTTCCGTAAAAGAATGTGAACTCATCAAAACGTCATTTTTGTCCGCTTGGACCAGTAATCAGAAGAACCCTTTTTTCAGAAGGAGATAAAAACAATCAAGACAAACTTGTGTCGTACGTGGCTCGAACTACGTTTGCTCTGATCTTTCGTGCTGTATGAAAGTACGTAGGCATAGGATGCGATATCCTAGCGAGCAACCTTCCCCTCCTTTCCCGTAGGTAGGCGAACTACGTTGACTCTGATTTCTCGTTCCAGACGGGAATACGTAGGCATAAAGTGCGATACTTTGCCGAGTCATTTTATTTTCTTTTAACCCCAGACCTATAGAATCGATAGAATAATAATCCGTACCAGAAAACAAGCGTGGATCCCGTCGAGTACGACGGACGTGAGGGGTGCTAATACCTTCCCCTTGCGTAACCGACTCCCGAATCCAGGATTTGGTTGCGATGACCATTCCTTTCCCGTTTTGCGTTAGGTTTACTCTGAGCGTTTCCTTTCCCTCCTTTGGGATAAATAACGTACGGTGGCGACTCTTCTGTTCAGCCGGCGCCGATTTTCGCAGTAGCGACAACAATCACCCATTGATCACACTTATCTTTATTTTGGCTTCTAAATGGGATACATCCACCACACCTCCTACTCATTTAGTAGTCATCAAATGGAAGAAACTTCCTCTGGGGAACACTAGCTGGGAGGCTTGGCCCCACATTTGTGAATCTTATAACCTTGAGGACAAGGTAATATTTTCCAGCTACATGTGATGTTAACACCCCACTTACTATTGACACCAGCGACACTATCAAAGAACAATCAAAGGTTTCTAAGTTGGACAAACCCAATGAGAAGAAGGAATCCAAGAGGATTTGTACCTGACCAATCACTCCAGAGGTGGCAAAACAAATCCAATATATTGGGCATGTCAGTTTTGTCTGCACTTTAATGCGGGACAGACCTAAATCCTTGACATTTTATTGCATACTGATTAATAAAGCGAGTTCTAAAAACTTGATTATACAAATACTTCACTAAGTCTAATAATATATCTAAGTCTAGTAAAACTATCCTTTAGAAAAATAAATTTTGAAAATCTAAGATCGTCTAATGACTATCAATATTCAATTTCTATACAAATTTCAACATATTTTTTTGGTTTTACATTTTTTCTCATTTTAAATTATCCTTAGTTTGAGAAAATATTTGGCATCATAAATGATACGCCAGTGCGGAATATAAGTTTGTATATCTCATAAATTTAGAGTTAAAACAAACAAAATGTGAAAACAAGAAATGAAAGAAATAAGCTAACCTTATCCTTGTCACCTGTCAAACGAAAACCCAACTCAACAATGGATGCTTTACTCCAATAGTTACATTATTCCAATTCCCTTCTCAACTCTTCATCTTTCACAAACTCAATGATTTCTACTACACCTTCTGTTTCCTCTTACATCTGCAACAGAATCTACAACCTTTCACCCACACACTCTTCCATTTCTCTCACCACAAACTTCCCTCAAAGACCCATATCCCATAAACCCTTCGATCCCATCCTCAAGTCACAAAGTTTCACTCTTTCCCCCCTTACAATTCAACCTCTTCAACCCCTATTCGCTGCAGCAGATGAATTTGAAACTAATGTAGACACCACAGTTTCTCAACAAGACGAACAAGAAACAGAAACAGAAACAGAACTGGAAACATCTGATGAACCAAAGAAAGAGAAAGAACAGAACGTGTCAACCTCGGACGATGCTGGAAGACTCTATGTTGGAAATTTGCCGTTTTCGTTGACTTCTGCTCAATTGTCTGAGATCTTTGCAGAAGCTGGCACTGTCGTCTCTGTTCAGGTTTTTCTGTCATTTTATTTTATATAACTTATTTGATTTTTTTACTATTCAATTGGAAAATTCAATTTTTTTTTATGTGGGTTTTATTTCAATCTGATATTTCTGTGTTTTGTTTGATTGAATTATATAGATTATGTATGATCGAGTTACATCCCGAAGTAGAGGATTTGCATTTGTTACAATGAAGAGTGTTGAAGAAGCTAAAGCAGCAATTCAAATGTTTGATGGTGCTGTAAGTCTTCTAAATAGCTTGTAATTAGTTTGTTTTGATTCACTTAGGCTCCTTCTGTCCGTGTCTGTCCGTGTCTGGTCTCCGTGTCTCTGTTCGTGCTTCATAAAAGCTATACTCTCATCAAAGTTTTGGTCATAGTTGGGCTTTCTAATCTAAATAATCCATTTATAGTTAGTTTTTATTGACTGTAATGATTTGCAGCTAGTTGGTGGTAGAAATGCTAAGGTGAACTTTCCAGAAGTGCCTAAAGGAGGTGAAAGGTTAGTAATGAGGAAAGAGATGAGAAACAGCTACCAAGGCTTTGTAGACAGTCCTCACAAGATCTATGCTGGAAACCTTGGCTGGCAACTGAACTCTCAGGATCTTAGAGATGTCTTTGCTGAACAGCCGGGATTATTGGGTGCTAAAGTCATCTATGAGAAGGACAGTGGAAGATCTCAAGGTTTTGGATTCGTTAGTTTTGAAACTGCTGAGGATTTACAGGCTGCTTTGAATGCTATGAACGGAGTGGTAAGAACAATTTTGGGTGATTAGTTTTGCGATTTCAAGTTAGTCTTGTGATATTTCAGTCTAACTATATAACCACATTCCTTCCAATGCTTTCAGGTGGTTCAAGATCGGCCGTTGCGATTGTATTTGGCTGCAGGGAGGAATTCTTCATCTTCTCCTCCAGTGATTGAGGAAAGTACAGCAAGCAATGTTGATAGTTCGGAATTGGTGTCTAGCTCAAGCACATGAGGACATATGTTTGTCAAAGTTTTGCCTGCAAAATACATATCATTTAGCTTTTCTTTTCTCGAATCTGTGAAACTGACACATACACTAGATTTTCAGACAGTTGTGAAATGTATACATATAAGGGGTTAATGTCAATGATATGATTTGTAATTGTGAAGAACATACTTCCACAATTTGATGGGCTACTCAAGCGAAGATTTATTTAAATAACCCTTCTCCGGAGGGTGTAAACTAGTCTTGAAATGGATGCAAAAGGATTTTTTATAAGTGGGAGAATAAGTGTCACTTTATTCAGTTATTCAACAATTTAAGCCTCATAATGAGCAACACAAATCTACTCTTGACAGCACAACACAACATATACTTCTAGTCCATAAAATGCAAAAGTAGCTTATCTAGTCAGCTAACTTAATGTGAATATTTTGCATAAAATTTTGACATCAACGCACCAAATGGGCAGCAACTTTGATATAGAGTTTGTTTTTAGTGGAAGGAGGCCAAAAATTCATCATTAGTTCAATGCTCATAATTATTCATCGTTAATCAACAAACGGATGATATGACATAACGTTAATTGGATAATATTTTCAAACAAAGAATGATTTGAAGCAAGAAGTCACATAAGCATAAAAATTGCACCGATCTTGAACTTGTGCTGATTAGTTACCACAGAAAAGTAGGTACAATTTTCCAAGGCAGTAGGGAACACTGGTCTAAACCTCCATGGTTTACTTCAAAGCATGGCAGGTAGGCAAAACCATAACCAGCAGAACTGATTTTAAAAAAAAAAGCAGTGTTGCCTATTGGAATCTTTTGGCTTTTCTCGTATCAGTGGTTTTTATATTACATGTTTGTGAAAATAGATACAACAATCTGTCACTCACATACTTGATATTTGACTTTCCGAAAAGGAGCAAGACAAACAATTTCAGTTTCACTTCAAACTCTTTCAAGAAAATGGTGGATGGAGTAGCTGAGCATCTAACAGCTTTGAATAACAGCAAACAGAACAGTCAAATCATCAACACATCTGTCATATGTTTATGAAGAATTATCGCCAGCTAGAAGAGCATCAGCTGCAGAATCCAAGTCATGCGGGAAAAACACCCTGCAAAGCAATATTTTTCTTTTAGAGCTCCAGACTATATAATAGATAAGCAACACACATGATAGTATACTAAAAGAATCAACTTTTATGCGAATCACACACCAGCTTATCAGGTAAACAACATGTCATTCAATTGATTTCATTCTATATACTAGTAGTTTAGTTCTAGGTTCAAAACACAGCCCACTAGTAATTTAGTTTTCCAAACAAACAAATAGGATCAATGACTCTATAAGTGATCAGTTCAATCAGTAATGGACAAGTCCATAGACAAGCTACATTACCTGCAAGTGTTGTGGTACAATGTTCTACTGAGATTATCCGTGTCATTGATGCCTTTACAGCCAGCAACCACCTCAAGAACTTGTCTGGAAAATTACAGTCAATCAGACATATTTCCAGGATTGTCTTTTAAGAAAATGAAGGCAAAAGATTAACAATAAGATATTTCTTGAAGTAATAATTACACATTGATAAGGAAAACTATACCAATTACCTAACTAAACAAGGTTCATTGCGGCCTTTGACAAGGCACTCTTGATCATACTTCTCTTTCTTCTTAGAAGACCATTTAGATTTAACAAAACCCATTCCGGCATGAGTGTTCTTTATTTCACAGTATGGTGAGTCTGTCTCAATCATCATTCTCTCAATAGGAATACCCTTGACAACATCAAGGTTCTCATTTGCCTTCAGAGAGCACCCATTTATGCCTGTCAGAGTACCAAGAAATGTGTATCATTCATGGGTGGGATTTAACTTTAATGTTAACATTCAATCATCACAGCTCCACACCATTCATATGTCTATCTTTGTATATTGATATCAAAATACAAAAAAAAAAAAAACTTTGAATACAGCTTTCCTAAAGTGCATTTATCTTTTTTTACCTCATGAAGCTTGCAATAGCATGATAAAAGTTCAGTTGTGGTTATATTTTCAGAAAGACAGCACCTAAAATTAAACATACCAGGGTGCTCTAAAGTAGGTTAGCAGCAGATATAGTAAAGCTTGAAAAGATGGATTTACCAATGTACATTTTATCAAAGGAGAGAAGCTTAATGCACTCATCCGTAGTACCAGTAAATGAATGGGTGACACCACCAGAGAACCTGTCATAAAAGTAGAAATGATTACTCCATTTCACATCCCAAAGTGATTAGGCCTCGAGGTAATTTTTGTAACCCTTCAAATGATGGGTTAAGAGTTTGGAAAGAACCACATGTATCATTAAACAAACCTGCCCAGTGCAACTTGTTCTGATAGATGTTGGACATTTTATACCATTTTCCCCTCAATTCCCAAATTTGAAAGGGTAAACAACATAGCAAAGGTTGGTAACAATATTTTCTAATCAAAACGACAAAGTTCATTTCTTGAAATGAATAAAATGATAGGCTAAACAAGAGGCAGGCCAAAGCAGATTATTTGAACATTTACAATTTCAAAATAGTGAAATCCAACAATTACACCTGTCTTTATTTTTCTCAACTATTTCACAGAAGTCTTCAGCTGCTGCTCGCATGTGCAAAAACATAGGCAACTTTGTGATGTATGCCAATTCAAACTGCTTCTCGAAATACCTAGTATCAGAAAAAGAAGAAGATAATTCATTAGTAATTTTAATATTAAAAAAAAAGAGTAATAGGAAGTAAGGGTAAAAGATATTAAAGTGACACGTGTAGCAACAGATAAACTGTGCATACTTCTTTTGAATCTCTGCGGGGCAAAAATGAAGTCGGTCATAGTCTAATCCACATTCTCCAACTGCAACCACCTTGCAATTGAAAAGGAGAAAGAAGAACGCAAAGTTATTTCTAAAAATGCTTACTTGGAAAGTAGTTTCATAACTAGGACAAGAACACAAGTTCTGCCACTACATGAATAACAATATACATTGTGACATGTCTTGAACTGAATAAATCACTTAAGAAATCAAGATTCAGAACTGTGTGGATCTGACTTGTTATAATTTAAGCATACCTTTCCTTTCTGAATTCCCTCTTTAGCCAACGACAAAAGAGCTTGAAAATGATTTTCTGGATCTCCACTCTCCTCAAATTCCTAAATCAAAACACCAAGTCACATTTACAAATACTATTTTCCATCTGAATCACTGCAGTTCAGGGTATGTATGGATGAGAGTTTTCGAGGGATAAGTCTATATTTTGCTATATATTTGAGATTTTGAAAAAATTGAAAGAATAATGTGATATACGATCATGTAACATTTCAATTACACTAAAATAATTTTTGAAACATTATGTAGCTTCCTTTATTCAGAAAAAAAAAAAAGAAAAAAAGCCCTTTCCTCCAAAATACTTCATCCAAACATACCCCTAAAAATCAAAAGAGAAAAGAAAATAAACCTTGCAACGTGTTGGATGCACACCAACTGTGCAGAAAAGTCTTCCTGTGATCAGTCATAAAATTATCATCACAATAAGATTCTATTTAGATAAACAGCTTAAGTAAGCGCTTACAATATAAGTGCTTACATATAAGCACTTCTATAACAAAAAGAAAAAACAAATTCAAACTATTTTCATACAAACTAGAAGCTGTTTTTATAAGTTAATCTGAAGAGCTTCTGAACTATGTTGAAAAAAAACCTTATAGACAGTCATAAGTTCATAACTCATAAGTTGTTTTCATAAACTCTTTCATAAGTGATTATGCCAGTAGCTAAGCCCTAAAGCCAAAAAGTAATAAAATGACAAACCATCTGTTTCAGCAATGGCAAGAGCTTCCCTTGATTCCTGAAGGGATCCACCAGTTACCTGCAACACAAATAACATAATTAATGAATAATTAAAGCAGAAATCAAAACTGGCAATGGAATTTATACAATGATTCTGTGGACACCAGCAGCCCAAGCCCTGTTCAAAACGGTTGGTATATCAGCAACATGACATTGTTTGCCATTGTAGATTCCCTTAAACATGCCATCTGCAGTGATTTTGAATTAATATGATGATTATTATTGAAGCACACAAAGTGTTTGATAAAATGCCTGACCTGTGAAGTTGACGGCTATATCTGCATTTGTTGAGAGAATTAACAATTATCAGTTACGAAATTGAAGTTCTTAATAGTGAATATAATTCAAAGCGTGTTATGATTATTTACCTATCATCCGAATAGCTGCCATGTTTGTGTCGTTGTTGCCTTGCCTCACTCGACGAGAAAAGGAACGATAGAATAGAGTGAAGTATGCGCTAGAGAAAAAGTGCTAAACTTTTGGTATTGCTATCTACACCCTTATAATTTACCAGCCACGCCCTGCAACATTGTTTGTGAAAAATGCTACCACTATAGGTAAACTCACACACTTTCTCTTTCTATTTGATTGATATGTTTTAAGAGAAATAATTCTGAGAACAAAAATGATAAAGGGTAAGAAGTACTATTTACAATTTTTTATTATTTACCATTCTTTTTATTGCAATAATAGCTTTTCAATGTTATCGCAATCAATCAACCTTGAGAAACTATTTCTAATAACAACAAATTCAACTCCACAACAACAAAATAATAATATCAACAATAAAATTAAATAGAGTTTGATTAAGAGAAAATATGACTTCGTAGATGAAAAATAAAATTTAAAGACTAAAAAATGATAAATAAAAGAACACACTACTTTAATTATAATTAAAATATGAAATTGTCGGTAACTTTAAGAGACTTCTTCATATGATTTATTGACATCTAAGAGAATATATGATATATTTTTTAATTAAAAATTTAATAAAATAAACACGCCTTATAGAATAGTGTTTATATCGGTTGGTTGGTAAATCAAGATAAATTTTAGTTAGGAAATATACTATTTGTTGTAATATAATATAGTGAAACCTTCAATCATAACAACAATAACAACGTTAAACATTTTATGACAATAACACTAACATTTTTCAATAACATGCACGGAGAGAGCATTTACATATAAGAAACGTGATGAAGAAGACAAAGATAATGTTGGAGGAAGCTTCATTTTGTGTTTCATTTTCTTTCCTTACTTCATTCGAGTTTTGTTTTGTTTTCTTTATTTCAATTTTCGTTTGAGTGCTTTTCAATGGTGTTAATGGCATTTGAGAGGAGAAGATGTAGTTTCGAATATGCCAATGAAATATATGAAGTTTCAGAACTCATAATGGAAGAAATTATGTTTTTTGAGTTTCGTTTAGAGGATAAATGAATTTTAAGTCGTTTAGTGGGAAATATGAAGTCTCAATGGAGAAGATGAAGATTCGATTTAGTGTTTGTTTGATTTTAAAGGAGAAATGAATATAGAGTTATGTTATGAAAACTCTCTCGATTATAAAAATATTATTGTGTTTGAGTTTTTTCTTCGGTTGGGTGGTTTTACCGAGTGAATAGCTAATATTTTACATATCGGTTGCCACTCCATCAAAGAAAATAGGGCACCAAAATGTTAATTAAAAAAAATTAAAGGAATTTCCTATAAGTTAGATGGCTCAACCTAGGAAAATAGATGTCCACTTTAGCTATCAATTTTATCGTCCCTGCTGTAATAGGCTCCCAATTTTTGTTAAAAATAATTAAAGACACCAAGTGAAATACTTTTTCTATAGATTTTCAGCTCAACGGAGAAAATAAATAGTTTTTTTTTTTTAAATACAACTAAAAAGTGTATTTGATGCGAATCAAAAACGTGTCCCATAAATTTTTTTCTATCGCTTGTCATTTCAATTCAAGGAATTTGATGTCTTTTTCTTATAAAAATAATTAAAAAGCGGTGCGTCTATGGTTCAAATCTCGGTTGGGTACTCGTTAAGATGAAAACTAATTATAAACTCTATTATTTGTTGTATTGCTTCTTATCATGAAATAAGAACAAAGTACTTAAAATAAAAGAATTTGGCAAAAGACACCGTGCATTATTACGGTGTTGAGAATGTAGCAAGTGTGAGTAGTGTGGATAATAGTTACATATTGGATAAGAATGTGGTGACTTGAGCATTTATAAGTGAGAAAACTCACTCACCTATAACCTTAAGGTTTTTGGTGAATATGTGGTGTGTCTCTCACAAAATTGTGTCTTTCTAAGAAGGAAGTCCCACAATGTTCAATGCTACCTAGTTGAAAAATCTTTCCCAACAAATAGTATCATAAGCATTTGGTTCGAGAAAGGAATCGGCTTACTTGTATCAAAAGTCAACGGCGCCACGAGGGTGGTGAGTAAGAAACGTTCCGTTAAAGTATGTCAACGGCGCCACAAAGGTGGTGAGTAAGAAAAAAAATGTTTCGTTGAGGAGGAACATTGTGGACTCACACTTGAGAAGAATGTGAATATGTGATATGTCTCTCACAAAGATGTGTTGCTCTAAAAAAATGTTCCACCATTTAAAATGCTCATCGTTTGACCATCGATTATTACGCCAACATATAGGTGATGGATGGACCAATAAAAGGAGAATAATTTTAAACTTCTCTAAAAAAACAATCTTAGAGGTTCTATTTTTTAAGTCCATTAATTACTCACACATATAAAAAATAACCAACAAACTATTTAAGATGATTGATCAAATTATAGAAGAAGTCGGGGAGAAAAATGTTTTTCATATCATGATCGAAAATGCATCAAATTACAAAGTTTTTAGAGCGATATTAATGAATAAAAGAAAGATGTTAAATCACACTATATTGATCTTATGTTAGAAGATTTTGAGAAGAAAAAAAAATACAATTAAATCGCACACCATGTGTAACAACACACTATATATATTATGTTAGTTTATTTTAAAATTTCAATTAAATTACATATTATTTAATATAAATTTTAATTATATTTTAATTAATACTTGCTGCTCCCCCGAAAATTTTAGGCAATATTTGTCATTATGTGTGTATGTTTGTGTGTCATATCAAATACTTCTAGCTTTAAGTCATTACCAGTAAATATGTCTTATCAAATAATTAGTAGTCTTTCGTTCATATCTAGTGTATCAATGTGTGTGTTTGTGTGTCATATCAAATACTTCTAGTTTTAAGTCATTACTAGTAAGTATGTTTTATTCAATAGATAAATAGTTTTTCATCAATAGTTCATATCTAGTGTATCAATGCTAAAGTATGATACTAATAGTAAAAAGGAAAACAAGATATACATTTATTTTATAAAATGAAATGAATATTATAATAATAATAATAATAATAATAATAATAATAATAATAATAATAATAATAATAATAATAATAATAATAATAATAATAATAATAATAATAATAACAATAATATATTAACTTAAAATTAGTTATTTTATTTACTAAGTTTAATTTGTTGAATGAAAATAATGATATTCAAATCGAACAACAACAATAATAATAATAATAATAATAATAATAATAATAATAATAATAATAATAATAATAATAAATTGATATCTATTTAATTAAAATTAATTATTTTAAGTATTAATTTAAAAGATTAGGTTTTCTTAAAATTAGAGATGTTAAAATTTCAAATATAACTTAATATATTATTTAAGATATAGAAAGGATTAAGGGTGACTCCGTCATTAACTCATTTTTCATTTCCAACTAAGACGATCGTGTCATTTCCTCTGCACCATCCAAAAATCAAGAATACGATTTCAGATTTTACATGTTCATGTCATTTCCTCTACACCATCCAAAAATCAAGAAAATGATTTTGCAGATTTGTAAAATTTCACTCCTATTCAGTTATAGGTTACAAGACATACGTGCCAATTTAGGTACTTTTCACATGCCAATATTATGTTATTTTCATCCTTTTACATATCAATATGTTATGAGTGAGGGCAGAATAGTTAATACAACCACTGAATCAAATGAGAATGATAGATATATGGCACATGGTCCTGCTTTTCTAGAGCCAAGGCGTGGAATAATAGAAAGGATCTGTAACGGAAAATATGCCACTGACTATGTTAAATACACAATGATTGGTTATTAGAGGGGGGAATTGAATGTGGAAGAATATGACTCTCTTTTCTCTCTGAAGCTTATGATTTTCTATTACATCGCCGAACTCAGCAAAAAGATTCAGATCGCCGTCATAACAAGTATGTGCAGCCTCACCACATTGACCACGCCCGTATGAACTGCGTTAGAACCAACTCAACTCTCTTCACGCGACTCAGCATTCCGCTGGAAAGAGCTATGTGACTCTGTCACTGCCACCATAACATTTGGTATTTTTCGATAATATTTTGGTTTACTCTCCTTCTTGGGAGACACATTTGATTCACTTGACTGAGGTATTGCACTTAATGCGTTCACATTATCTATATGCCAAATTATCCAAGTGTTGTTTTGGATTTACAAAAGTTGATTACTTATTTCAAACCAGGGAGTTCAAATGGACCGATCCAAAATCAAAGTCGTTTTGAATTGGCCTACCCCTACTAATTTGAAGCAGCTGCATGATTTTCTAGGATTATCTGGTTACTATTGTTGTTTCTTGCGTCATTATGCAACCATTATAGGTCCTTTAACTGAACTATTGAAGAAAGATGCTTTTACATGGACCCTCCAAGACAATGCTGCCTCTGAGGATCTCAAATGTGCCATCATTGTTGCACTAGTGCTAGCTCTACTATATTTTAAAAAGCCATTTATATTGGAAATGGGTGCTTTCGGCACCGGCATTGGGGTAATATTGAGCCAAGATTAGCACTCCATAGCATACTTCTCAAAGAAACTCAACCCCACCATGCAGCGCAAGTCCACTTATGTAAGGGAATTGTATACAGTCACCGAGGCAATGGCGCAATTTCGACACTACATTCTTGGTACCAAGTTTATCATCCGTATGAATCAAAAAAGCTTTAAATCCTTGACTGGTCAAACCATCCAGACACAAGAGCAACAGAAGTGGCTACACAAATTTTTGGGTTTTGATTTTCCATTGAGTATAAACTCGGAAAAGACAGCATTGTAGCAGATTCCTTGTCTCGTTCCTTCTTTGCTATATCAGAACCTATTAATTTGTTATTGCCCTTGATTGTAGCTGCTATTAATGTTGACCAACATCTATCCTCTAATAAACAACAATGTGAGCAAGGTACTTGTTTGGACCCACTGTTCAGTGTGCATAATGGTTTTTTGTACTAGAAGCAAAGAGTAATGGTACCCTCTGGG